TGGGTGGGGACCCACCCTCTCTTGACCAAAACCCCGTTCGCCTTCTCTTGGAAGCTAAAATATAGCTTGTCTTTGAGTGTGGCCCAGCGTCCTCACTCGTCTGACATAGGGGATCACCCTGTCATTCCTTCATTAATGGGCGGAGATTTGCAATGGCTGCTGTCCGAATGACCCTCCGATGGGATGGGTCATACCTACCTCCACTCCGCTGGAAGGAAGTGCAAAATGGGTGCGCGGTTGTCTGCCTATGACATGACCAGCGTCAGACCAGTCACAGACCGGTCATTCTTGTCCACCACGTGTCAGTTTAGCAAGCTGCATGTCTGCCCTTCTTCATACAACGACTTCCTTGCAATGGTTGCGATGAAGCCTGGAATATATCTGGGCGGGACTAACGTGCCAACTCCAGGAGCTAGCACGCCGGCTCCGGCTAGGGACGAGTGCCTGGAGGCTCTCATCAATCCGACGGGACGGGGCGAGGCGTGTGTCAGGCCGCCTGTTGCCACCTAACCCGCGATCTGACCGGTCTGTGACCGGTCACACACTGCGACCGGTCACGGACCGGATGAGCGCTGCGCTGCATTAAATGCGGCGTGGCGCGCTCGTCCAAACCGCAATAAATGCGGTTAGGTGAGCCCTGCTGTGCTCACCTAACCCATACACGTGGCGTCAAAACCACAGGGGGTCGGGACGCCCCTGCCCTCGGGGCCGAAACGGGAGCGGCCCGACCCCTCGGGGAGATAAAAGGCGGGGAGGTCTCGTCACCCTCAGGCCCGACCCAAGGGTGACCGCGGCTACCCAAACCTCTAGTCATGATACCCTCGGCCCCATGTCATCGACAAGTACTACCTTTGTTTCAGGTTATAAGACTTTCTAGCATTGCGTACTACTAATCTAAAATCCCTTTTATTAATCTATTCTTGTTCTATATCCTTTATAAACAAATATTCCTAGAGAATAACCTGACAATAAACTAATAAAATCCTACAAAAGCATAAAAGATGGCCACTTTGAATCTTTGATTATGTTGCACCTCAAAAAAATATATATCATATATTACCCTAAAAAAACCATACACTTTTCCAATTTCAGACAGCCAAAAGAAGAGAGAGTGAGAGTCTGAGAGACAGCCCATTCAGAGGTTAGTTAGAGTTGGGCCGAGCCCATATCATCTCCTATATAAATGGCCCTTCCGAGCGAACCTCCGCCCCCTCCGAAACCCTAACGCCACCCGCGCCGCCATCCCCGAGCACCACCAACCCCACCCCCCGAGCGAGCGGAGCGGAGAACGCGAGGCGAGGCGAAGCAAACATGGCGGCGGCTGCGGTGTACGGCGCCGGCGGCGCGATGAAGGGCGGGAAGCTCGGCATGGAGGAGGCGCGGGAGCTGCAGCTCAACCGCATCCGCATCACCCTCTCCTCCAAGAACGTCAAGAACCTCGAGAAGGGTAATCCATTCTTTCTCTTTTTCTTCTATAGTTTCAGTTCGTTGTCGTTCAGAGAGGATTAGATTAGATCGGATTTTTTTTTGCTGAGAGCGCGAAGCTGATTCGTGTGTTTATGGTTGCAGTTTGCGCTGATCTGGTGAAGGGCGCCAAGGACAAGCAGCTGCGCGTCAAGGGCCCCGTCAGGATCCCCACCAAGGTGCTCCACATCACCACCCGCAAGTCGCCGTGCGGTGAAGGTATTGACCAGTTGCAGCCACCTCTAATTGCAATGCTTGATTGGGTTTGAATCCATTTGTTTTTGTGGTATGTTTCGACTCATGGGTATAGCTTTGGTTTAGGTGGTTAGGAAATGGATTGGTGGAGACAGATGCCACTGTATAGATGCCAGTGTATAGATGCTTGGTTAAGCTAGATCCTGGTCTAAATTAGTGCTCTTGGTTGGTGACTAGTGTGGATTGTGTGACCATTGGAATCATTTAGTCAAAACTATTTGATTTTTCAGGCAATCTCTTTGTTGAAATTTGCCTTAGTTAGAGTACTTCACTAAGTGTTATTGTTGTATGGCCATGTTCTTATAGTGACTTTCGGCTATCTAAAATCTGCAATAAAGACTACCAGCAACAAGTTGCCACCAAAATGTAATGAAGGATGAATGTTTAAGTTTTCGAGTGAAAGCACATGGTATAGCAAGTTGAGTAGAAGGGTTACTATTGGAGGTTTGTGGTGAATAAGTTTGGTTTACCTGTTCTTTGTCGACCCAACCATTTCATCACCCAACCATTTCATGCATGGAGATGGATGGGCAGCGGGATAGCAAGCGATGGACACTGTCAAGCTACAACAAACTAGGATATTCCTATGTTATTCACTTCTAGATAAGGGAATGATCTAGAGGCAAGCTCAGAAAACTTGCCGTTACCCCCACAGTCTCATATTAAGGGGGCAGAATATACAGACGTTTCTTCAATTTTAGTGTTATTATTCTCCACATGTCATAATTTTAAAGATAGCCAAGCCAAGTTCTGAAGTCAAGAAGGTTTAGTAAGATTTTGTTTAGCAGGGATTTGGAAGGCACATATGTTGGTATTCTATTGGAATGCAAGTGGGCTGGCTTTTGAACCCATTTATGGGCTATTCAAGTGGGTAAACCATAGGTTGGTGCACTTAAATGGCCTATAAGTGGGTTTGTGGGCTGGCCCTCTTGTATCCTGATAGTTTAGTATGATTGGTAATAATAGCAATGCTACTTTTAAATTTAAGGTTTGTTATGGACTAGTGATAACTGTTATGGGATCGAGTACCAGTGGCACAAGAAACTACTGGCTAGTCTCGTAGCTTGCTAGGTACTCCCTCTGTCCCAAAATAAACAAAGCTAGTACGGGGATGTGGCACTTCCTAGTCCTGTACTAGGTTTGTTTATTTTGGGACGGAGGGAGTATCATAGTTTGTTACTCCTCTGGTTACTATTTATCTTTTTGGCTCCTAACCTACAAAGGTCGCAGTGTAGTAAAACCTCCTGCCCAAAATGTAGCTCTCTTTGGCTTTGAATCTGGATATGAACTTGTCTAGATTCATAGCTAGATATAGTTACACCTTGGGATGGATGTAGTATTGTACTCCCTCTGTTTTTAAATGTATGACGCTGTTGACTTTTAGATATATGTTGACAATTCGTCTTATTCAAAAAATCGAGCAAATATAAAAATATAAGTGAGGCTTAAGGTATATTTGATGATAAAACAAGTCATGGCAAAATTAATGATACCTGTATAACTTTTTTGAGTAAGACGAGTGGTCAAACGTAGATTTAAAAGTCAACGGTGTCATATATTTATAAATGGAGGTAGTATTAGAGAAGGAATCCATTGATAAACAAGATTAGTGCTCTTCCCACTATTATAGCAACCATAGGCTCGAAGCCTGCATTGCGCAAGAGACTTGGTTGCAAAAAGACATCACTAAACTAAAGGATCAAACTTTACGCCCATTTAAGTGGACATGTGAGTTTGTTTCATGGGATTTATTATTATGTGAATTCATTGATTTGTTAATTGGACAAAGTACATGATATGTTTAACTTGTAATGTATATCCTTTTTGTGTGCCAATCATCCTGTACCCCTGTTTACCTATGCTCATGTAGTTGTAGCATATTGTTCTGATGATTGACAGTTTTTTTACTTTCATGCTTATCTTTCATCAATATATCTTCAGGTCAGTTTATGCTTGCAACAGTTAAACTGGACGCTCTTTGTTAGATGAAACCACTTTGGATGCTAGTTGCTTAAGCTAGGGAAATTTGCTGACATCTTGTTGGCTTAACTTCACATTGGTTGGGTTTTCTTGTGCTAATTCAGGACTATTTTGCGTTCTTTTCTGACCAGGAACAAACACATGGGATCGTTTCGAGTTCCGCATCCACAAGCGGGTGATCGATCTCATCAGCTCCCCAGATGTTGTGAAGCAGATCACCTCCATCACCATCGAGCCTGGTGTCGAGGTCGAGGTGACGATCGCTGATGTGTAATGCTGCCAAACTAGCACTACCTTAGACCTACCTGTCTTGTTTCTCTGCTGCTTAGAATCTCGGTTCCGATTGCCATGCGTGTAACGGACATCCAACTGGTTTAGTGTATCTGGGTCTTTTATATGTGCGCGGATGCTATGGATCTTTCTCATGTAAGAGGTGTGTAACTCGCCAGTTTTGCTTCAACCACATGAAATTTGGTATTGGATTCAATTTTTGTTTGTTCGGCCCCTTCTGTCGTGGGATTCCGTCGAATCCGGTGATTGTTACAGGAGGGTATTTGATCATGAAATACTCTCTACTGCTTGTCTCGCTCATTTCAAACATTCTTACGAATCTATAGAGAATACGAATCTGGACAAAAGGGCTAGAAAATGTCACATCCGTTTTACTCTCTCCGTCCTTAAGAAAAATGTCACATTCGTTTTACTCTCTCCGTCCTTAAAAAAAATGTCACATTCGTTTTACTCTCTCCGGACACATCTCTTTCTAAATTGATTTTTTTTTAATGGAGGGAGTAGCTTATATTTTGGGACGCAGCGCTACACACTTGATCCACTGAACCACTGAAGAAATATCGTCAAAGCATATCCTGCATTCCTACTGTAGGGCAGCCTCTCGATTAGAACTGTCCACCATTAGCAGTTTAACCGTCTGATCAGCAGTGGAACATTTTGACGGGCTATGGTCACGCATTTTACTAGGAATAAGTCCATTTGTCATCCCTCATCTTTCTGTCCATTATGTTTAAACCTCAATATCAGACATCTTCACCTAAATCTTTTTAAAACCGCAAAACCATTTAATGATATCGAGGTTTAATAAGTATGCTAATTAAACCAGACGGAAAGATGAGGGATGGTAAGTGCACTTATTCCATTTTACTATGCCTAAATAGCCCAACTACAGCATGTTGCATCCAGCCCAGTAGAAGACATGAGCGTTGATGGGCCAGTAAGCCCAAAAAGCCGTAGGCCCACTAATTAGGCCCATCCAACACGCCGTCCGACGCCGCCACAAGCCACGCCGCTCGCCGCGCTACGGCGCACGCCTCCACCATCCCCACCCGCCCCCCGCCAGATCTCGCCGCGGTTCGCTGACGGGATCCATGGCGGCGCCGGGGAGCCACACCCGCCGCCGCGCGTGGCCGCTGCTGTTCCTCGCCGTCCTCATGTTCCACTCGCTCGCCATCTACCTCTTCACCCGCGGCTTCCTCCTCACCCGCACCGAGCTCGACGTCCACAGCCACCGCGACGACCGCATCGGCATCTCCCCGGGCTGCTCCTCCTGGCCCCCGCCCGCCGTCGACCGCCTCGTCATCGTCGTCCTCGACGCCCTCAGGTAAAATCACCACCCCTCGAATCTTAGATTCCCCAAGAGAGAAATTAAATCTCTTGTTGGCTACTGCGATTATACTCAGTGTTGGGTTACCGAGAAAGTAGGATAAGTTTGGAGCTGACACAGTTGTGCAATGCACTGTCCTGCAGGTTCGATTTTGTGGCACCAAGTACATTCTTTCAAGGTGATTTACTCCTTTTATGTATTACTATAATGCTCAACGTGTAACATGTGAGAATGTGATTTGTAACTCTGAGATGAGGCCATGATTCGCTGCAGAGAGGCAACCATGGATGGACAAACTGCAGGTTCTGCAAAGATTGGCTGCTGATGAGAAGACCTCTGCTAGGATATTCAAAGCGCTTGCTGATCCACCGACGACTAGCCTTCAACGTCTTAAGGTGATCAACTCTGTTTCTGTTGTTGTTAATCCAGATATTCATTCATTCATCAACAGAGTTACCCTGAAAAATTGTTGTCCTTTCCTCAATTCAGTGCAGTATAAGATTATCGCATTATATGCATTCATGAATTGAGTTGACCTGATATGCTCTGCACGATTCAGTGCAATCAAATGGTTGTAACTTTGTGTGTTCTTCACCCCCCAGGCTTTAACATCCTTGCTGTAAAATTCTATACTCAGGCTCTGACGACAGGTGGTCTGCCTACATTTATTGATGTGGGAAATAGCTTTGGAGCTCCAGCAATAGTAGAAGACAACATAATGCATCAGGTTCTTGTCACAATCTCATCTTGCATCTAACATTACAAATATGGTGTCAGTAAACTTACTCAGTTTATTCTGGATAACTAACCGTGGAAGTATGTGTTGCCTATTGTTTCTTTGTACTCAATCAGTTTGCCAAAAATGGAAAGAGGGTCGTCATGATGGGAGACGATACTTGGATCCAGTTATACCCTGAACATTTCAACAAGTCATATCCTTACCCTTCTTTTAACGTTAAAGATCTTGACACAGTATGTCATATCTTTTGTACCATTCTTTTCCTTGTTCTGCAGTGCGAGTTTTTTTCCTCCCATAAATTTTCCATGAAATTACCAGTAATTGTATTTATCGTATATATCAGGTAGACAATGGTGTTATTGAGCACTTGCTTCCATCATTACACAAAAATGATTGGGACGTTCTTATTGCACATTTCCTTGGCGTGGTAAGTTATTGTGCATTCTCTTATGCCTTAGCTTAAAAATTTAATCCTTTTATCCTGTCCGTTTTGAATAAAGAACATGTGAGATCAACTTCCTTTAGGACCATGCAGGGCATATATTCGGTGTTGACTCTACCCCAATGATCCAGAAGTTGGAGCAATACAATCGGATCCTAGAGGTCAGTCACCTCATGCACAAATATATAATGTGGCTTTATGCTTACCTGCTTATCATTCTTTTAAATTTGACCTCATTATGTTCTTTATTCCCATATGATGGCCATATTAACTATGATAATCAAATGCTGCTATATTTAACTCATACAGGATGTAATTGACACATTGAAAAGTCTATCAACATCGGGTGGTCCCCATGAGAATACTTTACTTCTTGTAATGGGGGATCATGGCCAAACACTAAATGGTGATCATGGTGGAGGAACTGCTGAAGAGGTGATCTATCTTATGTTTTGTTGCTAAATGCTGAAGAGGAACACTAAATGGTAATCATGTCTACATAACTAATGCTGTTACTATTATAGGTTGAAACATCGCTCTTTGCATGGAGTCCGAAGACCCCACCAAATGCTGTCTTGTCTGTTCTTGGTAAAAATTTATGCAACGCTGATCTGGTACATTTTCTTATCCTATATGTTCTGCTAACTAATTATGATTTGAGCTATCTTGCCATGTATGGCGATAATGTTATGATCAGGACTAAGTTTTCAAACAATTATAATTAATATTCATTGGCCATATTATAACCTGAGTTACATTTTTTTTGTCTAGAACACTTAAACTAGAATTGCGTACAGAAGATATTTTTCTAATCCCTTGCTTCCATATTGAATGCCTTACTGTTGTATATTTGGTTTGACATCTAAAACCGTAGGGCAAAGTGATTGACTATTTTAAACTCTACTCTGACTGTGTTATGCATGGCTATGAAGTACTGCATGCAGCGTTTTTTAATGAAAAGAGTGGGAATGAGGGCCTGTAGATTTTAGGAATGTAAATTTGAAATAAGCAGTGATTGATGTAATACAGTTTTTGGCCAAGATACATGTTAATCGTAGTACATTTTGTTTAGCCAGATTTTGCTTGCTTTTATTTGTGACTGTAGTAATGTGCCTACTAATCACACGTTTATTTCTTTTCTAGCATGGTAAAGAGGTGTGCGTCAGCACTATGCAGCAGGTCAGTGCTAACTGCATTCTTTTATGTTGATGGCTTATATGATCAATATTGCTTAATTTTTCTCCTTGTTCTTAGCTTGATTTTGCAGTAACTATAGCAGCGCTACTTGGTATACCTTTTCCTTTTGGAAGGTGTGTACGCTTTACTTGGTACTTGCTTGTTTCTGTTGTTTGCAGTGTGTGCTACTATCTGGTTTGACTAGAGACACTATCTAGTTGCTTTTTTTTTTCATTATATATACTGATTCGACTTGATTTTATTTTTCAATTGCTATTGTCCCTACATCCTTCCATAGTTGTAGTACTTAATTCAGTATATTTACGAAATGTGTTCTATTGTGCCATATCTAGCATTGGACGTGTAAACCCAGAATTGTATGCTCTGAGTGCTGGAACATGGGATAATCAACAGATCGGTGCCAATGATTGTACACAGCAGAATGATCTAGAAGCATGGATGCGGAGATATGCTGAAGCTCTCTGTATAAATTGTTGGCAGGTAATATGAAAGTTCATTTGTATTTGTTTGGTTGGGTGGATTGCTGAAGCTCTACGCTGATTTTCAGTTAACCCTCATAGGTAAAGAGGTACATTGATCGATATTCTGCCACTTCTGTTATTGGATTTCGAGCAGAAGACCTGAACCATGTTGCAGATCTGTATTCAAAAGCTCAGGCAAATTGGTCCTCTGTCCTGAGGTCTACATGTCCAGTGGAAACAAGCAGTCAGGATGAATTAAAGGAGTGCGCAAATAAGGAATGCACAAGTTCAGCTCTGCGGTTGCAAATTGATGCATACTCTGACTTCTTGGAGAGCTTTGCAAAGCTTGCTCGCTCTGCATGGACTGAGTTTGATTTATGGCTGATGGGCATTGGTCTTTCAGTTATGATACTGTCAGTTAGTACTCAGGCATGTATGCTTGTGAAGTTGAATATTGATCAAATTTCAGAAAAGGAAAGAGCAAGTTCAAGTTTCATTCCGAAAAATTTCTTTGCTTTTGCATTGGTTGCAATTCGGGCAGCAAGTTTCCTATCCAATAGCTATATATGTGAGTTTGTCAGATATACCAACCTCATCAAATATTATAAATTTATTTGGTGCACCTGCTTATTCATGCATCTATTTCTTGTGATGCAGTGGCAGAAGGTAGAGTTGCAAACTTTCTTTTGGCCACGAGTTGCATTGCCAGTGTGTGGCACTCAGCCACAAAAGGAAAATTCATCATAGAAGTTAATATTCTTATCACAATTAATGCTCCCAATTTCCCTGTGTTGACCTCAGTTTTATTCTATTATTATGTATAGTCAACTTCTGATCTACTTTTACTCTATTTATTCGCAGGAGTTTGTTTTTCTCCTCCTTAATATTTTCATACGATTTGGGATTGAGTTTGGGATGTCAAAACAAATTTCTGGGTCAATAATTTCAAATGACCACCCAGTCAGCATTATTTGTGGCCTGTTTGGTTCAAGTTTTTGCAGTGATCTCATGGAAATATTCCCCATCATATCTCTTACCTTAGTGGCCTATATAATTTTGAAGTGCATATCCTATGCGATCAGTCATAGATTCTTGAAGTACTCTGTTATGTCTGGAAGCATCTTGAGTTATATATTTATAGCAATTCATTGGGCTTCTGAAAGTACTTTGCTCTCTCATACTAAAGCTACTAGAGAGACTGGAATAAGTTTAGCTCCTCGCCTTGTATACACTATTGGAGGTTTATCATTAGCAATATCTGCATTTTATCGGTTGTTTGGGTCAACTGATCATTTGAAGATGAATGAAAGGATAACTAGTTTGTCAGCTGTCATGCTGTGCTCCTGGAGTCCTACTATCTTGATCTTGTTGGGAAGACAAGGTCCCTTTGTGGCTCTAATTTGTATGACTATAGGTACTGTGAGCTCTATTCCTAGACATATGGTTGCTTCTCAGAACATGGCAATTACTACTTTGGGCACTATTTGAGATTCTTTTCCTGTTATGTCCTAATTAAGAGCATGGCATGTGATTTTCTTTTTCATTTTGCAGCATGGTGTATAATAAAGTTACAGCAGAAAAATCAGAGAGAGCTGAAACTTGACAAAGGAATACATGCTGCTGACTCTGTTTCAGTAACACAATGGAGCTTTCTGGCAGTTTGTCTATTTTATCTGACGGGTCATTGGTAATTTCTTTGCTGTGTGGATGTTACTGACCTTTATCTTTTAGTTAGAATTTATCTTTCTGTTAATAATGCATTTTTAGTATGCAATTTGTTTCCTAGTCTGGAATAAAATGCATGTACAATTTGTATTTTCTGTATCTGATGTGATTTAATTCATATTTTTAGATGGAGTTGTTGAAAATACATTGTTGATCAAAAATTATGTTTCAGGTGTACCTTTGATGGCCTCCGTTATGGTGCTGCATTCATTGGGTGAGTGTAATCATGTTCCAAATATAAATGCTGAAAGGCATCTCTCATGATGCACACGGTTTACTTATCACAACAATTAATTTTACAGGTTTGATCATTTCCATATTATCCGACAAGGCCTTCTTCTTTCCATTGATACTTTTGGCGTTTCTCACATACTGCCTGTTCTTAGTCTTCCGTTTATTGCCATATGCTGGTACAATTCTGCATCCAAGAACAGCAAGGTGAATGATGCCACTGTCACCAGATTAATACAGGTAATTAGTTAGAAATATGGAGTAGTTTTATTTTTTTCTGGACCAGTTTAACGTTACAAAGCAGCAGCCTAAAATACTAACTTCAAGGTATCTATGCCAAATTCAAATATACTGCAAGTAGTTAGGCACTAAAATATTGGATACAAAAAATAATTTGGAGCTCCCAGAATATAAACAATAGGACAAAGCGTAGTACTCCCTCTCGTTTCATAATTCTTGACGTTTTGGACAATGACACGGCCTTCAAAATACATCTTTGACTTTGTTTTTCTATTATAATATATATATACAATAAATAAATGCGTGTTTACTTTTTTATGTTGTTCTACTTCCTTTAAACTAAATATATTTATTTTTTATGTTGTTCTACTTCCTTTAAACTAAATATATTTAAAGTTATTGATGTTCAAAGTTACAAAAGTTTGACCTCAACCCTATCCAAAATGTTAAGAATCATGGAACCGGAGGGAGTACTGATCTTGCATGCATTATGGAACTCCATTTGGAGACCAAATTATGTTTTCTGTTTGTTTGCTTACTGATCGATGGGGCCCCTTGTCTGTTTTGTTTCACTTAGGTGCTTTTGATGTATGGTTTAATTACATCAATCACAACAACGCTTACAATCATTTGTGTTACCATTCAACGGCGTCACTTGATGGTAATTTTTACCCCAGCGCCACATAAGAATACCACGAGTATTCCTGCTTTTGCTAATTAATTATGGTGGACTTTATGTGACACTATGCAATGTCAAACTTTGCAGGTCTGGGGTTTATTTGCCCCAAAATACGTATTTGATGCTATCGGGCTTCTTCTGACCGACTTGTTAGTTGTTCTGGCATCTATCTATTACAGCTGACCTTGCTATTTTGTTTCTTCAGATAGACAGGTAGTTTTAAAATTAACGCATTTACGATTTGATTGCATCTATAGAGCTGAAATATTTTTTTTGTCACTACAGTCAGTGGTGTAAAATCATGTGTATATTCAATTAAATTCATGTATTATCGTTGAATCAAATTTGTCATTAACCCAAGGGCCAGATTCTTGGTCACTTTTCAGAGACTCCTAAAACAGCACTCCAACTGTCCAACATCCGTGTGCCACAAATCTGGTTATTGTATTTTTAGAAGCTAGCTAGAACTCACACTAAGGCCATTTACAATGCGGTGAGATGGCGTTCAGCCTCACTGCGCCAGCGCATAGATTCCTTGCCACGTTAGCTTCTGGCACACTTTTCTCAAGTCCGCGCGTCCAACTTTGGTCACGCGTTCCTCGGCCAAATCCAGGGCGAGCGGCGTGAGGAACAGGCACTTGCGCGCATTGTGGAGGTCGTGACCTCGTTTCGTCGTTCTCCCGCGCTCGCGTCGTCGTCGAGTTCATCCTGCCCCGCGTCGTCGTTGAGTTCATCCCACAGGAGAGAAGGGAATCCGGCCTCTGCAGATTCAATCACCAAATACTCCTTCAGTTTCGTCATCACCAAGACGAACAGAAGAAGAGAGAAGCGAGCAGAAGGAAAAAAAAAAGGAGCAAACATATATGCGAGAAACAGAATATTTGAGAAAGAAGAGAAGAATACCTTCGTTGGAGGCCATGGACGACATTAACTAAACGGGAGGAGCAATTGCTGCCGATGCTTTCTTGCATTGAAGTCGACCAACCGTTGAAGTAGAGAAGAAGCAAACCAAACCAACTCCCGGCGCCGCCTCTCCGCCCGAGCTGGATCTAGCCGCCTGCCGCCGCCGTCTCGTCAGCAAGCGCTGCCCGGAAGGAGAGAGAGAGACGCGCCCGCGCCATGGGGAGGCCGAAGGGCGGCGCCGCGGCGTCCTCCTCCTCGTCGAAGAAGCCCAAGGCGAAGCCGAAGCAGCGCGGTGGCGCCGCCGCCGCTTCAGGGGAGGAGAGGGTGGCCGCCTCGGCACCGTCGCCGACCGCGCCGCCGTCTCCGCCCCGTTGCCGCCGGCGCGCTCCGCTGAGCCCGCCTCGGGGTCATCCGCCGCTAGCGCCCTTCGCCGAGATCGCCTCAGGGTCGTCCGCCTTCGGCTCCCGCGCCGTGTCGCCGCCGGCGGGCCGCCAGATCCGGAGGGGGAGAGGGACGCCGGCGGAGGGGGAGAGGGGCGACGGCGGTGTGTGGGAGGCGCCGGCGGCGCACTAGAGGAGGGAGCAGTTTTGTGGCCTGGTTGGGGAAGGCAGGGAGAGATAGGAGAGGAGGTAAAAAGTGAGGAGAGAGAAGGGTGGGACCACTGTGAAGGAAAAAGAAGACCACGTGCACTGTGGAGGTTGTTGCATACAAAGTTCTTAGTCTAGGTGGCAGTGTTGGCTACGCACTGTGAGTGCCCTAAACAGCACAGCCTAAAGACACTTTATTCAAACATACTGGGCTCTTCATAGCCATCATCAAGATACTCCCTCCGTCTCAAGTATTTTGGTGGATGTGATATATTTTAGTACAATAATTCTAGACATGGAGTCTATTTAGAATGATTGTACTAGGATGTATGTGTCATATTTACCTAAAATTCTTTATATTTTAGGACGAAGGGAGTAAGACATAAGGAACATAGGGGAACCGAGGACCAGTTCGTAAACCGTTCCCTAGAAAATTAAACATAAGTGTTTCTACAATTAAACAAACAACACATGGCACTTGTAAGGGGTCACCAAGACTTAAAAACTTTGACTCTTCTACAGACAGCCATCCAATGTGTCACCAGCTGGTAAGGGCAACCACAATGTTGAACAAAAAGCAGGTAACAAGTAATTAATATAGACTTATAACCAGGTAAGAAGCATTGTGGGTAGAGACAATAACTACTACCGGGCCACTGTGCTACTGCCGGTAACAAGAGAATAAACAATATTTTCTGTAGATATGGGAATCTTTTTGTACTAGCATGGCTATAGGAGATAGTTTTACAATGATTCTTTTTAAGGTGGACCCCACCTTAATTTGCAGAATAGGCATAGCACATTGTGAGATTTGTAATAACTGTTACCACCTGAACCCTGGGCCCACATTATTATCCACTTTGGTAGTATACATTGCGGTTGCTCTTATCACTAGATTTGTGAACCTTGAGTCTTCTGCAAAAGTCATCCAATGTGTCACCAGCTATCATAATCTCACAACCAAGAAGAGTCGCAAAATAATAGAGGCATACATTCTGGTGACTCTTTCATCCGTGGGTCATGGGAAAGGGTCGCTAAATGCCCTTATTCTTGTGGCGAGAATAACAAATTAACAATCTTGCATTAAAACATGTGGAAGTACCTGAGCTTACATTTCAACTCTTGGATAACTGTCCTATACTTTGAATGATTGAACTCTTCTTCAGATAGCATATTCACCACATGTAACATATCCGTTTTCAGAATCAACTCTGCAACTCCCATTTTTATAGCCAGACTCAGAGCCCCTTGGCATGCTAATATATGCTGCCCCCAAAATCTTACCCTTGTTATTCCTCAGAACTACTCTAGCTAGCAGCTCCCAGACCCCTTAAGTTCAGACGCCATGAATGCTCCATCTATGTTCACCTTGAACCAGCCGCTAGAAGGCGTTTGCCACCATTTCGCCGGGTAGTGAACAGCTGGTGATTTACCACTATTCAGATTTGCCCATTCTTCCAACCAAAAAGCGATCCTCTCCATGACAACGTTAGGAGACTCTGGAACATCGATATGATGTACATCATTCCGAATCACCCAAAGATTGCACAGGGCAACAAAAAGTACCACCTGTAACCCTATAGCTTGAACCACATATTTTCTCGAACATGCAAGATAATTAGTATTGTGAGTCATTTCATTAAGAAGATACAAAAATTACGGAGGAAAAAACCCTCCCATCCAAACTCAATTTTCACTCCGTTCATTGCAAATGAATGATTCAAACGAGTTATAATGGATGTTAAAAGAAATACTTGAAACTCCTCTAATGTCAAGTTAAGTACATACAGAATGATTCTTCCCATTTGTTGCGAACCAATGATTCGCATGGGAATGTATATAAGAAAGCACTTGAAACTCCTATAATGTAACTTTTGATCCATGCAGGTATAAACTCAATTTTCATTACTTCAGTTGCGGACCGACGAGTCACACGCGTTGCAGTGGATGCAGGAAAAATACTTGAATCTCCTCTAATATAATAACACTTTTAATCCATATAGAATGATTGGTCTCTATTTGTTCTGAACTCAATATTCACTCCATTAATTTATTGTGAATGAATTGATTCACACGCGTTGTAGGGGATGTAGAAAAGCGCTTGAAGTCCTCGATTGTCATTTTGAGTGTACAAGGCATGATTTAACTCAATTTGATGTGAACTCTATGTGCACTCCATTCGTTACGAAATGATTCACACAAGTTGTAATGGACGTAAAAAAGTGCTTGAAACTCCTCCGTTGTCACTTTGAGTTCATACAGAATGACTTGAATACTTGAAGTGTCGAACTAATGATCCATACGTGTTCGAGTGGATGTAAACAAATATGTACCATGCTTAAGAAACTACAAATGACTGCGACCAAAAACAGTCACCAACATAAGACAGGCTATGTGCCTAATGCGAGACCCGAGCTTGAACAACACATGATAATATATATAAACTGATGTTCCTGATAGAGGGATCGCAGTGCCACGTCACACAGCTAGTGGTGCGACATGAGGTACTAGGTGTAAAGAAAAAACAAATTATGGGTAGCATGTCATTATTACATAAACCCTACATAGTGTTGACTCCCCAACCAACACCCGTCAGATGGTACTAACGAGGGGCACCAATGATATCCTTATTGGTAGTTTGGTACCCGTTCTAATTGGAATCGACAAATATAGGGGTATACCCGTTTTTTTATTTTTAGGGCTAAAAAAACAAAAAAAATATTTTGTATTTTACTACATATCCATGGTCATACTTTGGTTCCTACTCACAAGATTTACCGGATATAATTTAGAATCGACACTTATAAAGATGATTTTTTTTATTTTTATTGGCTCAAAATAAACCAAATGAATATTTCCCTATAAGGTGCACCTCTATTTTATTTTTACATGCTCGAAAAAAAACCCAAAAAATATTTTGTATTTTACTAGTCATTTATACATGGTCACACTTTGGTTTGGACAACTCACAATATTTTTTCATTATTTTCAAGCGCATGGAGTTAGAACGGTTCGAGCCCACAACCTCAATCTCCACTCAAAGTCTTTTTACTACTATTTAATACTATAAATGAGCTGAAATGAAAATATTTTCAACTACAAAATTATAGATCTCATTTAGATATATAACTTTCATATAGATTCTGCCTCCATCGGAGATCGTTTAGAAAATTTAGAAATTCACTTATCCAAATAGATCTAGGAACTTTTAGAAATTCACTTATCCAAAATAAATTCACATATTTCAGACTTCCAAATGATCTCAAATAAAAATATCATCAACTACAAAGATGCAGAACTTACCGTGCTCTAGAAATTTGATATAAAATTTATCTTCATCCGATTTTATATAAAAAAGTTATGTGCAAAACACACATATATTAGCAGCGCCAACGTAGGTGCCGCTTTTAATTTTCAACGGTCGGCAGATAAATGATGACCATATGTGCCGATTTCCAATAAAAATCGACACCTGTTACGATGCACTCATAGCTACCGGTTTATTACAAGAACGGCTACCTATAAGAACCGATACATATGAGTTGAGGGATTATTGGTGCCTTTTTTTATAAACCAACATATGTAAGTCATTATACCAGTTTTTATTTATAGACCTATGAAAAAAGGGAAAATCTCATATGTGTCGTTTTTTATGTACCAATACCTATGATAGTGCTTCCTATGAGGTTCTTTTTAAGTAGTGTATCATTTGAAAAAAATGATGCTCTAATATAAAGGAATATCTATATAAATTAGAACTGATCCACGATTAAGTAACTTTAGTTTGTTAACCTCAATCAACTCAGACCATCGAGAGCTCCATATGAACATCACAATCATATTAAGGGCAGAGCTGAGACGTAGGGCAAACCAAAGGTTAAGCTGAATAAATAAATAATTTTTCCATGAACTGAAAGTAGGCGAACTATCCAAGAAGTGGATGGTTTGGTGTGTGTTGGGTTGAGGGATAGCTCTTATGTGAAAACACCCTTCTACTAATATGTTTAGAGCGTTATATATTCTTAGAAGCAAAAATTTTTCCGCGTCTTTTTATACTTTTCTTCAAGGTTGAGGGGTTCTTCGAAACAAACACAAGCTGTCAGCTTGTGGGAGCTTCTGTTTAAAATTCTGCATATACACGAGAAACTTTTCCAAAGTAGTCCAATACACATTAAATTCTCCGAGAAGAAAAAAATATAAAAAGATATAAAAACAGAAAGTAATGGGGCGCTACGGGTTTTTATTAACTATGTATATCGGCATACTCTCTCTCCAATTTGGCATAGTACTAGTCTGGAAAAGTTTATTCCCCGAAATGCATCTGATCGATAAATGAATCCCAATTGATGAACAGGAGGTGGGAAAGAGCGTCATGCCCCGTACTCTTTACTGATAGACAGACAGATTAGCACTCATAGTCATCGGTCCTCACATTCAATGGCAAAATTTGCTACAGAACACCGAAAGATTGTGATCTTTGCTGTGAGACACCCAAAGATCGTTTATTTGCTCGTGGATACTGTAAAAAAGTGGTAATTAGCTGCTGAACACTCCTTCCATTATTTTATTATTTCCGGTCAAAATGGAGAGAGAAACTTTGGTTAAAGGCAAATTTGTCTATGGGCCCACTTGTCAATCTCTCTTTCTCTGTTCTTCTTCCTCTCTTTCTCTCCGTTCATCTCTTCCTCTCTTTCTCTGTCGCGGCACACCGGGCAGAGCTCCACGGCGAAGGTGTGCCAGCGAGGACGACGAGGCGGCGGCGTGCTTGGACGCGATGACCTGCAGTGGGTGACGGCCTGCACGATGGCGTGGGCGCGGCGTGCGGGGTCGCCGCTCTTGAAGATGCCCGAGCTGACGAAGACGCCGTCGCAGCCGGGCTGCATCATGAGGGCGGCGTCGGCGGGGGTGGCGACGTTGCCGGTCGCGAACTGCACGACGGGGAGGCGGCCCAGCTGCTTGGTCTGCATGACGAGGTCGTAGGGCGCGGCGATGCGGTTGGCGTAGGCGAAGACCTCGTCGTCGTCCATGTTGTGGAGCGCGCGGATTTCACCCATGATGGAGCACTCGTGGCGGACGGCCTCGACGACGTTGCCAGTGCCTCACAGACACGGCTGCGCGGCTTCCTCGGGCAGCTCACCGCGGAGCATGCGACGAGGGGGCGGTGTGCTTGGACGTGACGACGCGGGTGGGCCACGGCGAGGTGATGAGGTCGACGAGGCGGGCGGCATGGGAGCGCGACGCGAAGAAGTCGAGCCCGCCGCCGCCGCCGCGCATCGCGCCGACGCGGAGGGCGTCGCCGGCAGCGCCGTGGGCGATGCGCCGCCGCCGCCGCCCCGCCGTGGCCGAGCCGTCCCGGCTCGGGCCGGTTGCCGTCGCCCTCTGCTCCACTGCGAAGAAGAAGATGGGGAAAAGAAAAGAAGTGAGAGGAAGAACACTGTACAGGGGTATTTTGGTACTTACGCAACTCTTCTCTCTCCATTTTGACCGGAAATAATAAAATAATGGGATGAGTGTCCAGCAGCTAATTACCACTTTTTTATAGTGTCCACGAGCAAATACACGATCTTCGGGTGTCTCACAGCAAAGACCGTAATCTTTCAGTGTCTTGTAACAAATTTTGCCTAAAAGAATTGTAGTGGGGAGAGAAGCAAGGAGAGGAGGTGAGGAATTCCAGGGAAGAGAGAGAGGATTAGAGGGGACTGGCTTTAAAGATGAATCCAGCTCTTTTTGGATACAATGTATGTATTTGTAATACATGTGCGAGTTTTTTTTTAAAAAAAACTACTAACACATAAAATATCATCAACGTCGTTTTTTAATACATCGGCATATAACAACCGGCCTAGAGATGGCAATGGGTACCCGGTCCCCGGTCCCCCGTGGAGAATTCTCCCATTAGGTGATGGTGATGGTATTAATTGTGTCTCCATGGGGAATCAAATGGAGAGAAAGTATTCTCCGTCGGGTCTGGCGGGGGCGGGTTTGGTTCCCCGTCCCCCGTCCCCGCCCTCCGTGGAGGCCCGATATAAAAGTATGTGTGTAGTAATATCCTGTGTATTTGGCCCATATGGCCCATAAAAACCAGGCCCAAAGCATAGAGTATATAAAGCAATTGTGTAACCCTAACCATTCCAATCCTTATCCCCTCCGTCCCCATTCCCCAGTCCACGCCGCCGTCCGTCGGCCACAGCGACTGAGCGGCGCCGGCTCCCGATCTCGCGTCCGCGCCCGCGCGTGCAGGCGTCCGTGCGCTCAGGGCCGCCGCGCCCGCCGTGCCGGCATCCGCGCCCGCGCCCGCGCCGGGCCACCGCGCCCGCCGGCCCTTATCCCCTCCGTCCCCATTCCCCAGTCCACGCCGCCGTCCGTCGGCCACAGCGACTAAGCGGCGCCGGCTCCCGATCTCGCGTCCGCGCCCGCGCGTGCAGGCGTCCGTGCGCTCAGGGCCGCCGCGCCCGCCGTGCCGGCGTCCGCACCCGCGCCCGCGCCGGGCCGCTGCGCCCGCCGGCCCTTATCCCCTCCGTCCCCATTCCCCAGTCCACGCCGCCGTCCGTCGGCCACAGCGACTGAGCGGCGCCGGCTCCCGATCTCGCGCCCGCGCCCGCGCGTGCAGGCGTCCGTGCGCTCAGGGCCGCCGCGCCCGCCGTGCCGGCGTCCGCGCCAGTGCCGGGCCGCCGCGCCCGCCGTGCCGGCGTCCGCCCCAGCGCCGTCCCGTTCCCTTCACTCCCAGCCTCCCAGGTCCGAGGACGCCGTGGACTCGGCACCGGCCACCGGACGTCGGCCTCCTCGTCCACCCTCCGTCAATATCTGATCCGTCATGTAGGCTTATTTGTTTTGCTCATGGTGGATGCAGGTGAAGGCTTCGGTGGCAAGAAAGGGGAAAACGACGAGTCCACACGACGACCAGCCGCTCGAGTCCGCCATGGCTTCGCCTTCACCACCGCTAAGCTCCGACGACGATGCAAGGTGAGCACATCTAGCTGTCCTACTCCCAACTCAGTACCCCTCCCTAGACGCCTACCTATAGTACCATATCCCCCTCCCCCTCCACTAAATTCCTCTTCCATGGCTGCATCATTGTCTCGTTGAGTCACTAACTCACGTTCGGCGGTCCACAATAAGGGACGCCAATGCGGAGTTGGACCAGCCATCGCATGCTATAAGCGCTGCAGCTGCAGCCACACCCGCTGTCGTGCCTGTTGCTGGATCTGCCATTGTTCATGTGGGCAGATCTGGTTCCTCCAACTCCGGTGCAAAGGCCTGCTGTCGGCCGCCGCAACCACCTATAAAAAGGACCACCACTAGGTCAAAAAGCCGTCTTGCGATTGCAGGAGCACCTTCTGCTTCGACTAAGGCAGGAGCTCCTTCTGCTCCAAGAACTCCAGAAGCTTCATCTTCCGCCAACGGCCTGCGCTTATTCAAATCCATGGGGTTCGATTTCACGCTAACCCTTTATACATTGTAGCTTCACTTTCGTAATCCTAAGTTCCTAACAATTTAGCATGTGCAATTTATTAATTTGCAGCTTGCTTGATTTTCTTAGATATTGAATGTTGTATTTAGAGTATCTGTAGAAAATTAGATATCTTTACATGTATATTGTATGGTTGTACATTGAATGTTGTTAAGTTATAAATATGTTATGAACTTAAGTTTTTGAAATTAAAGGAATCCGATTCTGTGTAGTGTAGATCATAAGAAATTTATTATTCTATAGGCTGTAGCAGATTTCAGTATGATTTATGTGTAGAGATTCTTCATTTCAAGTTTGCCAAGATTATTCTATAGGCTGAAAGATATATTGATCTATATTTATTTGTCATTTGTCAGATTTACCACGAATTCAACTGCTGGTACTGGTTGTGGGAGTAGCAGCCAGCAAGAATCGCAGTCACTTCCACCACAAGCAGAGTCTGTTAATGATTCTGAGCCAATACAAGTTGAAGATGATGAGCCAGAAGATGATTCTGAGAATTTTGGCACAAAGAGGAAGCTTACTTCTGTTGTTTGGAAGGATTTCAAGAAAGTCAAAGTCTGTGGTGATGTCAAGGCTGAATGCCTTCATTGCCACAAGCGGCTTGGAGGGAAGAGCAGCAATGGGACTTCACATCTACATGACCATTTGAAAATTTGCACATTGAGAAAGATCAAGATGGGGCCAAAGACACTTGCACAATCTTCATTGAGGTTCAATTCCATAGAGGGAGGGAAAGTTTCTGTGGACACATACACATTTGATCCAGCAGTGGCTAGGAGAGAGCTTGCTGCCATGATAATATTACATGAGTATCCTTTATCTATTGTTGACCATATTGGCTTTCGAAGATTTGTTAGTGCACTTCAGCCATTATTCAAGATGGTGACTCGGAACACTATTAGGTAATTTCAGTTCATCTATTATTTATTTGCTGGTTTTGCATTTCTGAAATTTGATTAGTTAGTGAGTTTATTGATTAATGTTTGAATATAGGAAGGACATTATGGATACATATGAGGAAGAAAAGAAAAGGGCATTAGCATATATGGCTGGAGCTAAGTCTAGAGTGGGTATTACTACTGACTTGTGGACCTCTGATAATCAAAAAAGAGGCTACATGGCTATCACAGCCCATTTCATCGATGATTCATGGACACTTAGAAGCATTATCATGAGGTACATGATTCACAAATGATTATCCTCTTGTCACCATCTTAAATTCAACATTTTAATCTTGCTGCAATATTCCATTTGTAGATTCATATATGTGCCCGCTCCACACACAGCAGAAGTTATTTGTGAACATCTTTATGAAGCGTTGGTTGAATGGAATCTTGATGAGAAGATATCAACTTTGACTCTTGATAACTGCACCACAAATGATAAGGTGATTTCTGAACTCATCAAAAAGATCGGCAAGCGTAAGCTTATGCTAGAGGGGAAACTTTTGCATATGCGTTGTGCTGCCCATATTCTTAACTTGATTGTGAGGGATGGTTTAGATGTGATAAAAGATTCAATTGCAAAGGTTCGTGAAAGTGTTGCCTTTTGGACAGCCACACCTAAAAGAGTAGAAAAGTTTGAGGAAATTGCAAAGCATGTGAAAGTTAAGATGGAAAACAAGTTAGGCCTTGATTGCAAAACTAGGTGGAATTCTACCTATAGGATGCTCAGTATTGCTTTACCTTGTGCACGTGCTTTTGACCGTGCAATACGGGTTGAGAAGCTATTTGATTGTGCTCCTAGTGAAGAAGAATGGGCTTTTGCTAGTGAGGTAGTTGATAGGCTCAAGTTGTTTAATGACATCACTGCAGTATTTTCTGGCACAAATTATGTGACTTCCAATATTCAACTACTTAAAATCTGTGAGGCTAAAGAGCAAATTAGGAAGTGGGCTGTTTGTGGTGATTCTACTATAGAGGAAATGTCAGTTGAAATGATTCAAAAGTTTGATAAGTACTGGAAAGATATTCAAGGGCCAATGGGGTTGGCCACCATTCTTGATCCTAGGTTTAAGATTGACTACCTCCTTGGGTTCATTGAAACCATCACTGGTCAGTCAAGTGAAGAGTGTGCAACGAAAGTTGCTGAGGTGAAAGACACTCTATATGATTTGATGAAGGAGTATGAAGTGGAAGATGATGAGGATAACACGGAATCTTCAGCTCCTCCACTTGTCAATTCTGATTTATTGTCTTCAATCACAGCACGTGTTACTAGTAGGAGACCAGCAGCAATACGTGTTAAATCAGAGCTAGACAGGTACTTAGAGGATGAGTTGGTTTCAATTAATACAGAAAACTTTAAGATTCTTGATTGGTGGAAAGTGGCTGGGACAAGCTTTCCTACATTGAGGAAGGTAGCACGAGATATATTTGCTATTCCTGTTAGCACTGTTGCATCTGAATCTGCATTTAGCACAAGTGGAAGGGTTCTTAGTGAGCATCGTAGCCGGCTTACTCCAGAACTCTTGGAGGCCTTAATGTGCTCACAAGATTGGCTGCGAAACAAGTATCGAGGTACATATGATGTTTTATTCATACATCATGCTTAGCATAGATTTTACAATGCAATGGATGCAAAATAATTGTTATAATTGTTATCTTGTAGCTGATAATGAAGAAGCAGCAAGCTTTTGGAGTTGCCTTCAAGATATCCAAGATCGGATTGAGGTATTCTTTCAACAACTTGAAATTAGCAATCAAACTCCTATTGCCATTATTTGTTATATCCTTATAAAATACTTGACTAATTGAATATCTTTTGCTACTTCTTTAATTTAGGGACTTGCTCTTGTTTGAAGACATGAATGTATGGACATGCACTGTTCTTGCAATGATTTTGGATGTTTGTAACCCCTGTTATGTGTCATGATAAACTTGTAAACCATGGCAATGCTTTTGGATATTTGGCACAAAAGACCTACTCCGAACTATGGTTTTACGTATGCCTGGACAACATGTGTTGTTGCTGCAATGTGGTGATAACTAATGAGTGATGACTGATGAATGATGAATGATCATGTATTATTGTGTTGTTGCTTAATCTGGGAATATGATGGATATTGTATTCTTGGGCACACTTTTGTTGCACTGCTTGTTGCTGCACTGCTGTTGTAAGTGATGAATTGATGATGTGCATTTGTGAACTGATGATGTGCATTTGCGAATTTGTGATCTGAATCTGTGAACTTGTGTTCTTGTAGTTGTTGTTCATGTGCTGAAATTGATGGCTGGAATTGCTATTTTGAGTGTTAATCTTTTATTGTTTGATATGAGAAATGCATACATGTTGACTGTTGAGTAAGTTGATAGCGGGGATGGAGGCTCCACGGGGATAAATTACCCGCACGGAGGCGGTGATGGGGAAAGATGTTGCCCCGTTGCATTTCACGGTGATGGTGATGGGGAAAATTCCCCACCGCGGAGGCGGGTATGGTGGAGTAACCTCCGACGGGGAATTCCCCGTTGCCATCTCTAAACCGGCCCATATAAAGACTTATCCATGCTGATTTTTAACTTAAGCTTCCTAAGGGACGCGGAATGGGCGGGAACTGCCTCCTAAGGTTTACCATTGATTTTTTTATATATTCTTGTCCAGCACAAATAAATTTTAGAGTAAATTTCACAAAAAGATAGTTTTGTCAAATTATCACAAAACTATAGATTTAAGGAGATGTATCATAAAACTTATAGTCAATTCAATCAAAAAACTTAGATGATTATAACTCAAATCACTGGTGGAGAAACTATCTTTGGTCGGTCGACCAGATTTCACAATAGTCCCGGTTGTATTAAAAACCGGGACTAAAAACATCTATAGTCCCGGTTTAAAAGCTCCAGGGGTACTTTCCAATCTTTAGTATTGGCTGGTGTTACCAACCGGGACTAAAGATCTATTTGTAGTCCCGGTTGATAATACCAACCAGAAAAAAAGATCGCCATACACTTTACTCCCGGTTGGTGTTACCAACCGGGACTAAAGATCTATCTGTAGTCCCGGTTGGTAATACCAACCGGGAAAAAAGATTGACGTGGAGATCGGAGAGGCCTGTGTGATCGGATCGAGGTATCTCCTCCTCTCCTTTAACTCCTCCCTCCTCCTCTCCTCAACCTTATCTCCTCCTCTCCTTTTAACTCTCTCCTCAACCTTATTTATTCCTCTCCTTATCTATTCTTCTCCTTCTCCTCTCTACACTGCAGCGGTGGGGCGAGGATGCCAGGCCGGGGCGAAGCGGCGGCGGCGCGGCGTGCGGCAAGGCGGCGGTGGCCTGGCGGCCGGCGCAAGGGCGGCGAGGCGGTGGTCATCGACGGCGGCCTGTGGCGGCGGGGCGCGGAGGGCCGGCCGGCCGGCGCGGCGAGGCGGCGCCTACGTTTTCAGTTTTTTTTTCTTTTTTTTTTTGGAGAATCTGAGCTGAGATTGTTGTATGATGTATTTGATTTGTGTGTGATGTGAATATGTGATGAATTTTGTAGAAGTTGTGATGTAATTTTTTTTTAAGATTTTATGATGTATTTGAGATGATCGATTTGTGGATTTGGAGGCAATTTGAGGATGATTGTTTTGGGATTTTGGGGACGGGATAGGGTGAAATCAATATATTAAAAATAATGAAGAAAAGAAAAGAATAAAGAAGCAACTAGATCTGCCTCTTTAGTTCCGGTTGGTGTTACCAACCGGTCCCGTTAGTGTTACCAATCGGGACTAAAAATCGATTTTTACTCCCGGTTATTTCACCCGGGACTAAAGATAGCGATCTTTAGTCCCGGATTTATAGTCCCGTTTGGAAAACCGGGACTATACAGGGGTTACGAACCGGGAGTAAAAACCACTTCTCCACCCGTGCATATAACACTAATGCTAAGGATTTAATCTCAAAAATCTATAGTTTTGTGATAAATTTATTGTTAAATCTGTAGTTTTATGATACATCTCCTTAAATATGTAGTTTTGTGATGATTTGACCAAACTATCTGTAGTTTTATGAAATTTACTCTAAATTTTAAGCTATCTATTTTGCATTTATCACAACATCAATATATTTAGTATTTTCTTTTTTATGTAAATGAGTAGGTCACGAACCACTTTTACCATAATTTTGTATACAAGAGTACCATAAATCAACGTTATACCTTGAATTCATGTAGTATAGAATAAAGGTTTAGAAGTTCACAGTTTTTCGATGAAAAATATGATGCCATAAGAGCGTTTGTATTTAGACCAACCATCGGCCACTGCAGAAAACACTATCCATGAGGTCAAATACATCTTTTTCTCCCCCCAAACAACGCTAGTATGACTGCTGTTTACGAAACAAAAAGGCCAATTCTATGATGGAACCATGGCAAATTGTCAGCTAGGCAACACAACTGTGCTATCGGCACGTCCGAATCGGACGAAAATGGACAAATGTTTTATTGGCCATTCATAGTGTGTACATGTGATGTTTTACCCCAATACGATTGCTCGGAGGTTCGCATCCACATCATGTGAAGAGCCGTGGATATCCTCGAAACAATATGGGTATAAGCACAAGTGGACAGACCTATCAACCCACTTATAATACAAATAGGCGTAGCCATTTATTT